ACAGCATAGAGCCCCAAAACACGGCATGGAACCAAAAACCAACCTAGGACCCCAAATACCAACCTTGAAAATACAGCAGGGAACCCAAAATACCAACCTGGCACCCCAAATACCAACCTTGAACCCCAAAACACAGCATTGAGCACAAAATCCAACCTGGCACCCCAAAAATCAACCTGGCACCTCAAAATACAGCATGGAGCCCCAAAACACGGCATGGAACCCAAAATATTAACCTGGCACCCCAAAAATCAACCTGGCACCCCAAAATACAGCATGGAAAACCAAATACCAACCTGGGACCCAAAAACACAGCATGGAAAACCTAATACCAACCTGAGACCCAAATACCAACCTGGCACCCCAAGAACCAACCTGGCACCCCAAATACCAGCCTGGCACCCCAAAATACAGCGTGGGACCCAAAATTTTAACCTGGGACCCTAAAATACAGCATGGGACCCCAAAATACCAACCTGGAACCCCAAAACATGGCATTGAACCCAAAATACCAACCTGGCACCTCAAAAGACAGCATGGAACTCAAAATACAGCATTGAGCCTAAAATACCAACCTGGGACCCCAAAATACAGCATGGCACCCCAAAACACGGCATGGAAAACCAAATACCAACCTGGGACCCCAAAATACCAACCTGGCACTCCAAAATATAGCGTGGAAAACCAAATACCAACCTGGGACACCAAATACCAACCTGGCACCCCAAAATACAGCATTGAGCCCAAAAACCAACCTGGCATCCAAAATACGGCATGGAGCCCAAAAACCAACCTGGCACCCCAAAATACAGCATAAAACCCCAAAATACCAACCTGGCACCTCAAAACACGGCATGGAACCCAAAATACCAACTTGGCACCCCAAATACCAACCTGGGATCCCAGATCCCACTTTGAGACCCCAAATCCCACCCTGAAACCTCAAATCACACTCTGAGACCCCCCAGTCCCACCCCAGGGACACCAAATTCCAACCTGGGACCCCAAAGCACAATTGATCCCCCCCAAATCCCACCCTAGGACCCTCAAGTAACTTCCTAATATTAAATTAACCCCGGCACCCCAAATCCCATCATGGCACCCTTAAATCTCATCCCATGGTCCCAAATCTCACCCCAGGACCCCAAACTCTATTGCAGGGACCCCCAAATCCAACCTCATGATGCCAAATCCCACTAATTATTTCCAAATCCAATTTAAGAACTCACGAATTGCATTCAAGGCCCTCAAATTTACCCCACCACCCCAAATCTCCCCTAAGGGACTTCAAACTCCACCTGAACACCCCCAAACCCTTCCCTGGGACCCCCAAGTTCCCCCATGAACCCCAAATCCCATCTGAGGACCCCAAATCCAACCTCATGATGCCAAATGCCACTGATTTTATCTCCAAATTTAATTAAAGAACCCACAAATCGCATTCAAGGTCCTCAAATTTACCCCACTACCCCAAATCCCCATCTAAGGGACCTCAAACTGCACCTGAACACCCCCAAACCCTTCCCTGGGACCCCCAACTCCCTCCATAAACCCCAATTTTCACTCAAGACCCCCAATTTTTATTTTTAATTCCATTTCAGGGACCCCAGACCCACCCTGCACTCACCAGCCCCTGCAGCTCCCGTGG